ATGCACACAATCAAAACCAAATCCTTAACAAAGAGCTCTCCTCTCTCAATTCTCCATCTCCTTTTTCCAGTAGCCCATACCTTCTTCCCCCCTTTGCCCATAATCACTCCTCCTCTCCTCTCCTCTCCCCTGCCTCTTTGCTCTTTTGTCACTTTCCCCTTCAATTTCACTACTCGCTCTCCCTTTATATCGCTGCCCTATCCTAACATTCAAAGGCAAGGTAGGAAAGAGATCGAGAAAATGAAGATCCGGTGCGATGTCTGCGACAAGGCCGAAGCCAGCGTCTTCTGCAGCGCCGACGAGGCCGCCCTCTGCTCCACCTGCGACCGCCGCGTCCACCACGCCAACAAGCTCGCCGGCAAGCACCTCCGCTTCTCCCTCCACCACCCCAACTCCTCCAAGGACTCCCCTCTCTGCGACATCTGCCAGGTACCTCTTCTCTAATTGAACTTCTCCCGACAATTCGAACTGTGGGAAACAAAATTAGAGGCGTTTTATGTTCGAATCTCGATAATTCCATTTGTTAAGCATTCTGATATTCTGATGACCTGCCAACTTCATACTTTTTTCTGAATTGAGTTTTGTTTCAAAAAGAGCGTAGTATTAATAAATTGTATATGATTCATAATTGAATTTTGTTACAACAATTCGAGTTATAAGAATCAATCAGTTGTTAACCGTACTGCATTTCTCGTTTGATGAAACAGGAGAGGAGGGCGTTTCTGTTCTGCCGGGAAGACAGGGCGATTTTGTGCCGGGAGTGCGACATTCCGATCCACGCCGCCAACGAGCTCACCTGCAATCACAACCGCTTTCTCTTGACCGGCGTCAAGCTCTCCGCCTTTTCAGCTCAGTACGACCCCACCGCTGGGACCACGGCGGCCAGCTGTAGTGCGAAAAGGGGCCGGTCCCAGCAGAAGCAGCCGCCGCCAGCGCCAGCTGTACCGCGTTACAGTGATAATTGTTATGGCGACAAATTGGACTGGGAGAGAGGTTCTCCCACTACGTCGTATAGCACAGTGGATGAGAGCAGCGGCGCCCGCATGATGAGCTGTAGCGGCGACACTGCAACGGCCGGGTCCGCCACCACCACTAGCAGTAGCATCTCGGAGTACATGGAAAACCTGCCGGGTTGGCAAGTGGACGACTTTCTCGACGAGGCCGGTTTTCCCGTCTGGACGACGCCGTACATGTGAACGGAGGAAGTTTGACTTTTTTCTTATTTACTGCGGAACTAACTGAGCCCTGTTTTGGACGGTGGAGATTGCTGCTGCTGTTTTGGTCTCTGGTCTTGGATCTTTTTTTTTTCTTTTACTGCCGCTTGTGGCGTGGGAGTGAAGTAAAGTGACGGTCCTTTTTTCCAAGACCAGAGCCGTGGGAAAGTGAGATGGCGTAGGGGAAGAAATGATCATTTGGAAGGACGCAAGTCCATGTCCATGGGAGAAATGTGTACATGTAGCAACTCTTTCTTGAGGTTCTTTTCTTTGTTTTCTCATGTCCAAGGATCGATGTATTGCTCATTTTTTTTTTTTTTCCAGTCAAGTCTGTTGTTTGTTGGATTGGATTCAGTTTCCATGGATGATTTCACTATACAAATGTCTGCAGATCGAAACGTGTCGGGAAGTTTTCTCCTGTACAAAGTGTTTGTGGGATCGAAAGTGGCACCTTGCAGTGCATGTATATGCAGAGGTTTTAGGCCCATCCAACGACATAATCAAGGACATAAGCAAGCAATAGGGAGACTGGGTACAATCCGAAAGCCACCAAGGACATCCAAAGAGGGAACTTGGTGCGGAAGCTAGCGAGGAGACCCATTGTGATGCAGACAACGAGGATTATCAGCACTTGAGCTGAGAAGTTCCACTCGAGGTCTCGATAGTAGACAAGACCCAGGAAAACTGACAGTGATAGAAGGTTGCTCATTGTCACCGATCCATATATCTGCAGGCACCAAAATAACCAAATAAGCAAGTGTCATGCTTGTCATTTCTTAATTTCCGGCTAATAAAAATAAAATGTGGGTTGAGGAAGAGGATAGTAATACAGACCTCGGAGTATGCTAAGGATGCAGCTCTCATGTTCTTCTTACTGGCAAAGATCAGGACAGAGACAATCTCGCTGGAGCTAGCGAAAGGCAGGATGACAAACGATACGAAAAATGGAGGGATCCTCGAAGCGGTGGAGAAGTTGTTGACAGCATCAACCAGAGGCTCAGCAACCAATGCAGCGATCAATGTCCCCGAGAGCAAGATCAATCCTGCTTTAGCAGTGTCCCACAGCATGTTTTCAGGAGGAGTACTATTGCTACCCTCGTTTCCCCCTCCTAGAATCCCCTCTTCGTTCTTGGTGCACTGTTAAGATATGCATTGATATATATGGCATTATGTACACAAACAAACACATTTAGTAGTTAGAATCTAATTATGTGGGAAGAAGCACTTGAATCACCTCTTCAAAGTCGAGCAGAAGTTTTAATGTCTGTGACCTATGCCCATACATTGCCGAATTCTTGGCCTTCTCGAGCCATTTTGATACTCCTTTTGTGAATTCATCCTTGTCAATGAGCGTGTCATGAGACGTGTCGAATTCCTTGAGGACGTGATACACTGCATCATCGATATCGGTGTGTCGTTCCTCGAGCTGTATTCCTATCACTAGTGCTCTCAGCTCATTTGCTGTTAGATACCCATCTGAGTTCTCATCCATTATCGCGAATAACCTGTCTCGTTGAATCAATGAAGCTTGTGTAAGAAACTGAACTTCCTAGTTAGCAAATTTTGAAAGAAAAGTTCATTGCTTTGTTTTAATGGAAACTGAATGTACTTCTGAATCGCATCTGTGTTGGGGTGACCATTATCCATGAACAGCCTTCCCAATGTCCTTTCTTTTAACTGCTTTAGAACCCCTGATATTAAGTGCTTATGCTTTGAATATGCTATCTTTCTTTTCTGAATCCAGGGCTGGAAAACCTGCAGGATCGATTATATCATAGCAAAATGCAGATGTTCAGGACAATCAAGCTTGGAGAAATATAATGGGACGATGGCAGGCCAATTTTCCTCTTACCTGGTAGAGGCTGTAGCTTATCAACATACATATGGCGACAACGAGGGAAACCACAACTGCAATATTATTGCCATTCTGTGCATTGAAAACTTGTGGAAGCTGGACGATTATGAATGGCAGGAGTGAAATGAGCATGATTCTGGCACCATAGCAGGTCCAGATATCCGTAGCAACTCCTAATTCTGAGGGGAAGAAAAAAACTGATAACTTCGAGACCACCCCAAAACTGAGCAAGTGTAAACAGAGAAAAAGTTAACAGGAGTTACCTGTCAGGCTAAGTGTTCTAGGATTTCCTGAAGCTGTCGATGTCGAAGCCGTAATGTCCAGTTTTCCAACTATCAAGCATGATCCCCATAGCACTGTGAGAAGCATTACGTTTGAGCCAGCCATCAGCCCCATCCCAACTGAGACCTGACTTTGTGCTGCCAATTTGCTTCCTGACAGCCCAGACGCTGTTGAACAGCAGATGTTAGCAGTTGGGATATGATAACTAGGCTTTGGTTTCAGCTTTTACCAATGAAATAAATGTATCCTGCTCTCAATTTTTAGTTCCATTGTTCAAAAAGATTCATGGCATTCTACCAAAAAGACAAGGAAAAAAAGGTTCGTGACACTTGAAACAATTCTAGATATCTGCTACAGAAGTTACCACAAACGTGTGATGGAAGTAAGTGAACACCAAAAACCAGAGGAGAAGCCAGAAGAACAAAGGTAGAAGCATGAGAGAAAGGGATAGATATAGCTGTACCAAGTATAATAGCAGCATCAGGGAGAGAGCCAAGCACTGGCAAGAAGAGACCACCAACGATTCCCGGACCGAGTATTTGCAGAAGAACCTCACTTCCAGCTGATAACAACTTGGCAGCTAAGAACATCAGGTACCCGTAAACAACAATCAAGAAAACGTTCCCAAACACGGTTTGAGTACAGGGCAAGAACCCATACGTCTCGTGGCAGCCAGCCGCGTTGCTGCTGCCAGATGAAGAAGGCATCTGGATTAGAGAGCTCTGCTGCTGATGATGAATGCCATCAGTAACTCCATCAGACAGCATGGACTCATCATTCTGTATCGAGATTTGGCGACTGTGACCACGCCAAGTTAGCAGGACGAGGAAGATGATGATGGGTATAGAGAATGATGAAAATTGTTTGGCCATTTTGGATTGGTTTTTCTCGTATTGTACAATTTTACATTCTCTGAAAAGCAAAAGAGAAAGCGTTTGGTTATATATATTTTAGGGGATAAAGAAATGTTCAAAAATGTTTCAACTCTTACGGGACAAGGCTGGCTCCCGTGTAAGCGACCGATGCTTGCACATCAGGTATATACACATTTTTCTGTCCAACGGACGTGCCAAAGTAATCTACAACAGGGCCACATAGTCAAAGGAAAGATGTTTTGCTTTCGATTTATCGCGGCCACCAAGGTTGTTAAGGCGCTATACTGATTCCAACCATTGAATTTCAAACCATTTGTTATCCCCGCTCAACGATTTAAATCGATTTGATAGCGGTCGTCACTGGCGCGCACCTCAGCAATGCACTTTGCTTCAGTTATTTTTTGGGTTTTCTTTTTCCCTTCAATTAGTCTTGAAGGCTAGCCAAAGTTGTTCCAAAAGACGAAATTAATGAGTATACTTCTCACTAAAGCTTCTTCATATGGACTGTTTTTATGTACAACACCAAAAAGAAGCTGCAAACACGTCACGGCAACCATTCTACTGCAAGTAGTTGGACACAACAACAAGAAAGAAAACCCTAAGAACATGAGAAAAAGTCTTTCCTTTTACAAAGGCCATTCTCTCTCACGTTCTTCTGTTACTGATACGGAACCTTTTTTTTTTTTTTTTTTACCTCAGCCTTTAATCAGAGTGTCTTATTTTTTACAGCCCTATAGGGAGAGGGGGTACCGAACAAGAAACCAATATGTATTGTATTAATCTCATATACCTTCTTTAGAGACAGTTGCAGCATATACAGCAAATGTAATGAAAGAATCCATCACCCCCCACTCCACCCGTCGCAGTTTCTTTGCCTTCATTAACATTGGGAAGAACCTTGAGTAGTGATCATGACATAAACCCTGGTGAAAGGGAGAGATATGTAATGGTCGATTAAATGAGAACCGGAAAATATCGTTATGACCCTTGATTCGAGATTGTATATGTGATGGCTTACCTTCATTTGGAGGGGCAACGCCAGGAATGTTCTCAAGAAGTAAATGCAAAAAGCCTATCTGCAATCTTTGTTCGGCAGATTGGGCACTCCGTACAAGCAAGGGAGCAGGATTTACACACTGCAAAAAAATGAACCGAATATAACGATGTTTCGGGAGTATAGGAAGAACAGTGCAGATGTGCGAGGAGAAGGGAGGAAATGTTCACTCACAACAAAAATGTCGGCATGGAAGAAGAATGGCTGCAGTGGCTGATTCAAAACATACTTTACAGATATGTGAATTCGCATCTCCATTTCCATTGTGTTTGAGTTCTTTTTCCTTCATCTCTTGCATCCGTGCCTGAAGTCAAAACAAGCAATTCTTAACACATCGGGTAAGGGAATTGGAACCACACACACAAAACTATCAGAACTCTTGGCGTTAAATTATCAACGAAATGGAAGGCAGAAATGCGAAGCCCAAAAGACGAGCGGAAGCGCAAGTGTGAAGCAGCAACAATGCAAAATTAGTGTGGTTTTGTTCTTACCTTCAAACGAAGAACTAGTGGCTCTTCCTTTGGCATTTCATCAGCTGGCTTTGGATCATCAATAACTTGTCTTTCTTTTAGGACAGAACCATCATCAAACCCATTTGGCTCTGGCTCACCCAAACGATTTCCTGTGTCGATAGGCCTCTCATCTGTACTCAACTCGGGGACATTTCCTCCATCCTTCTTCAGCTTAGCAACAAGCACCCACATGTTTGCCAAGTCATTTTCCAGAGATTCTTCCCTTCGCCTTGCTTCATCCGCCCTTTTCCTGTATTCATGTTCTATGATTTCCTTCTCAGCTAAGGCAGCCTCAAGAGCTGCCTCTCGCTGTTTCCTTGCCTGCAATTCCATCCTCATATCATTTGGATCAAGATCCCATGAATCGAAGTCATCGGAGTGCAGTGCCATTTCATTTGGGCCCCTGCCAGAGGAGAAGCGCCCCTTCCTCCCTGATCTTAATCCGTTACGTCCTCCACCATTTTGTGCAGCACCTCTAGAATGCAATGACTCACGAGCAGCCAACAATTCCTTTTCTAATTTAGCGTTCTGCAAGGATAATTTAGTAACTTCACCAGCCAGATTTTTTAGCTCCACTGCGGCAGCAGATGCAAGTTCCTTGGCATAAGAAGCTTCTTCAGCAAGCTTCTGGTTTTGGACACGTAACCCACTGTTGTCCTCTGAAAGCTGAACCTGATGTATCTTTAACTTTTCATTTGAAATCTCCTACTCAAGCAAACAAAAACATAATATGAATGACTATATTTCGGATTTTAACCACTGCTGTTGATTATTCACTGTGATTTGAATATTTGTGTTGAAAGAGCAGTGTACTTCGGTTATCCACTGTGATTTCAAATACCTGTGACTGAATTTTCTTCTTCAGTTCATCAACAAATTCTTCAGGCACCGATTGACTAGAAGGCAGCGATGATTTATCACCAGATAGTGATGCCAAATGCTGCTCAAGAAGATTCACCTTCTCTTGCAATTCCTTGTTCTCCAAACACTGCCAACAATGGTTAAGCGTATCTACTATTAGCTCACAGATCTTGCAGAAAGTGAAAGCGCTCAAAAAACCATGATGGGAAATGAAAGACAGTGAGTCATGAAGGACGGAAGATGGACTTCACCTTATTCTGCAATTGTTCTTGGAGGATGCGGTTGTCCGCTGATTTTATCTGCATTGATTCACAAATTATTACACCACCAAATGAAAAGAAGAGACCATTTTTACAGTGAAGGGAAAATATCAACGTCAACATTCAAGATAAACCAAATTACAAGTATAAGTGTAATATAATGTTTGTTCATATGCAACACAAAGTCTCTACCTCGAGCTCAAAAGCCTTTTCATTATGCTGAGTCATCAATCGCATGACTGTCTGTTGCATCACATGTAACAAAGACAATCAAATTATTGTATATTATCGGGTACGAGGAATTACATAACGGACAAACTCGAGCAGCGAGGAACTAAGTAAAATCACCTGCTGCATGTCAACCAATGATCCATTGGCAATTGAAGCCTCACCACTCTCAATAATGCGCTGTTCCAAGGCTCTCATTTGCCTTCTCTTTTCTTGGATCTCACGTTCCAAATTCTGGATCTATAATTGAGACAGATAAGGATCAATGAATGGGAGTATGGGACTATCATGAATATCTAGAGTCACACAGCACCAAGCAACATCATATGTGGAACAGGATAAAAGAAAATCAGCACAATCAATGGAGCGTAAAAAACTAGCAGTCACAAAATATAGAAGTGAGATGCCACAGTGTTATGACATAATATTTCCAACTTCGCTTAGCCTTGAACAGGAAAACACCAACCAAAATAACTAATGTATCAGTTGGTTATACACTCGGAGTGAAACATTCAGACTCCATAATATCAACACAAACTGGAGAATGCCACAAAAGGTGATGAACATAAGTGTTTAGAACTTGGAAATGAATTTCCTACCACTTCACTTTGTCAAGAGGAATAGGATGAGCAAGTTTCATCAATATCCACCACAATGACACAATAACGTTATCTTGAACTTTCAAACCAAAGTCTAAGGATAGGATTTAGAAGATTATATGGCAGCATACTTGAGGTTTTGAGTTTTCAGGATCAGTCACAGATTGCTCCACTAAGCGCTTCATAGTGCTTGTACCAAGCGCAATCTCTCCAGCAAGCATCTTGACCTGTTCAACTAGAAGGTCCATCTGATCTTGAGTCAGTTCCTGAAAGCAAAAAAGAAAATTACTGGTTATAAAATTTAGTTAGTTAGAAATCAAACTATGAAGAGTCCCAGTACACAACAATTGGTACAGACAATCACAAAAAAGTTATGGATATCTACGAACCCAAGACAAGTTCCAAGAAAAATGTTCCAAATCAAAAATATTTTGTCCCTAAGCTGACATTACCACAATCATTCTCTTCTCAGAAGTTCAGGAGTTACAAAAAGACCAAACAAGAGAACACTGTTTTTCGGTAAAAGGCTCACATGGTTAGGTAATGTTGGCCCTAAGGTACAAAACCAGGAATGTGGTAGATTATCTCATCCCCACAGTACTACTAGCTCAACCCTAACTAAGGCCTACAGAATGCATGAAAGTTAGATCTAGTACTGCTTCGCCATTGGGTTAATGAGAGCAAGTAGGCTGAATGTTTCACCTTTAATTAGCATAACCAACAAACAACGGTACATGGAAAAATCTGGAACTCGGCAAGTAGAATATACTGTTGCCAATATTGAAGAACTCACAAGTCCACCAGCAGTTGATTCAGCAACTGCACTGCAGCCAGGAGAAAGCTCTTCATTCCACTTGCTGGATGATCTTCTAAGCTTGGATTCATGAGATAGATCCGAGGACATTGCATTCACTGAAGATGGAGAGTTCTTGTTCTCGCTGTCCATGAGTAAAGTGCCATCTCGCAGAACATCCAGTTTCTGGCAACACAGACATAAAAGTAACTCTTACCTTCCAGAATGAAAAGAGCGCAACAGCTAGTACCACAAAAGTGATGTAAATATTCTAAGTTCATTACGAACAACATAATCAGTGAGTGACCAACTGCAAGTAAAAGCAAATGCAGCTCAGCTTTGCTAGTCAAGACGCATATTCCAGAACACAAGCATACACCTCGAGCATGAATGCCATAGAATTGCTGAATTCACTCCTTCCAGTAACTTTTACCAATTCATAACTAAATGATTGCGGAAAACCAAAGTCATTTAACTTGACAGATTAGGAAGCAAACATACATCATCTGAGAGACTCCGGTGATGAGCTGGAACATCACCCAATCCGGGAATTGAGTTCTTTGTAGAGACCAGAATTAGCTTGGTCAACCTCTGGATTCTACTCATGAGAGCAGCCTTCGCTTCCTCTTCTTCTTCCAATCTGGATTGCATCTTTACTTGTCCTTCTTCCAACTATAAGAAAAGCATATACTGATAAAGCAACCCAAGACAGCAGCACTGATTGGGGAAGAGTGAAACCTAAGACAATAAGGATTTAACTACCTTTTGTTTTAAGCTCAGAATCTCCTCATGACTCACACCAACGACCATCCCACTTCTTAATTGATCAAGTTCCTCTTTGAGAGTTGAAATTTCTCTTTGATACTTCTTAATTAGCGACTTCTCATCAATAATCTGAAGGCAGAATTATTTAAACCAGCATGTGAGTTAGCTACAACTTACAAATGGTGATTTCATCACAAGCTCTGATGGCCATACATATCATGTGCAAAACTAAAATACCTTGTTACGTGAGGCATAGATCTCCACGCGCTTTGCCCTGCTAGCAAACTTTAATGTGTTGTGTGTTTCCTCCAAGTTACTAGATGCAGGAGTAACTGTACAAATAAGCTGGAGAAAAATTTAGGAATGAAATATGTTAGAAGGCATGGGACTTCAGCTCGACAGAAGCAATTGCAAGAACAAGGTATACAAGTATGATCATTGTTCAAAACAGCATTATTGTTCTTCAGACTCACTGAAACATGTCCGTGTCCACTTAGTGAAGACTGCAAGAGGCGGGTGAGCTTGGAATCTCGATAAGGAACATGTGATGCCCTCCCTTCACTCAGCTTTCCGATTACCTGCACATTTTTAATGATAATGCCGATCAGAGACTTCATGAAAATACAACCATAGTGGTCTGCAGATGCCACGGACAAACATATAGTCAACAAAAGCAATTGACAGAGATAACTCCCACATATTATAATGGAGAGAAGTGGTGCTCAACATCAAGAAACCCGAGCCGATGATCTCTCGACTGTGAACAATATTGTTTGCTATTGTTAAATTTTGAATCATCCTACAAACCTCCAGTTGAGTGAATTTCATTTACATGCATATGCAGGGTTATACTCCATTCACAGTGTTGGGAGAAAGAGTACCACAAGCACGTAAAAGATTTCAGTAACATACAGTTCCAAGAGTAAGAAGACTTTTATTGATGTAAGCTCCTTCTTTTCTCCTCAACCCTGTTGTTTCAGTTTTTGAGCTTTCAGATCCAGCAAGATCGATCAAATTCTGTGCAAGGCAAACACGGAAAGATGAAGCATGCAACTACAGGATTATTCCGTCACGTGTTCTAACAATAATCGTAATACAACTTACAAGTTGAGAGAAAACCACACCGTCATACTCATCTCCATGAGCACTGCTTTCGATCATCTGTAAAAGCAAAACAATTTTGATAACTCGGCACAGTAAAGTGAAAAGTGAGGTTAAACACAAACACTTTACAGTGCTCATAGTGCACATCATCGGAGATGGTTTGCATAGGCAGCTTAAGGAAATTATCCTAGATGCTCTAGCAACAACAACACTAAAATATACACCCCAAAGATTGACAGTGAAAAACTATTTCCAGCAACTAAAGTCTAATACATGATAGCTATTTAACTAAAACAGTCGCAAGAAAATAATTTCCAATTGCAAGGCGGTATGGATTATGGGCTTGGGTAAAATATAAACATAAAACAACAACTGCATATGGTATCACCCGCAAACAGAATCTTTACCAGTGTGAATATGGTGTGACTTCGGCTACTGAACAGGTTGAAATTATTTGAACCTACATGGCGATGTTCTGCAATCACCACAAATCAATTAAATTAGCAGTAAGATACTTGATGAATCGAGCGTACAGATACAGCTGAAAGTTACCACCATATTGTACCTTCTCCGGCAGCAATGAAAGACAATGCATGTCCTGGAGACAAAACAACTTCTTCCTTTATACCCTCAACATAAGTACCCTGGAAATATGGAGGCCAAAGTGAGTGGAACGCTGCAAGTCAAAGATCTATTTGAACACTGTGTGCTAAAAGGCAAAGTCATCAGGGTCATTTGTTACAGAAAACTTCATCCAATAATTCAAAGAAATGTCACCCACTAACAAACTGTTCTCAATTCAGGAAAAGAGGAGGCCTAATGACATCAAAGCATCAAAGAACAAACAAACGCTGAGATATTTATGTAGGTGCAAGAAACACAATACCTGTGCATCTTCTCTAACACGCAAATTTTGGCCCGTTGGATCAAGTAAGTCGTTAATAACCTGACATGGGCAGCAATAATGAACCAGTTAAGAAAACAATCAATGAGCAGAGATGAAGACTGCCAGAAAGAACAATAATAACCTAGTCATCATGTGATATTGTTGAGTAGGTTAAAAGCTAGAATAAGTTTACAGAAGTAAAATTAGCACAAAAAAAGGTGATAAAGAGTGTCTAGTCTCTAGATAAAACATTCAAGTAGTAACGAGTGTCGGAAGTATTTGACTGACCTCATTGTAAATTTCGAGATATGAAACCCGCAGCAAAAATTCTCTTCCTGGTGTCTGAAGAAACCAGTGAAATGAATTATCCATCCCTGACCAACCAGCCGGTTCTCATAAAAGATAACAGCAACAGAAACCACTAGCTAACAGGAATCACTACCAAGATCATCTGGTGAAGTTGCCGGTTCACATGTGTCACTAAAGCTGATATGCATGAGACAATTGGAATATTACAGATAACTTGTGTTTTTACAAGCACTAGCATTCATTGAATAGAAATATCCCCATCAGATACAACAGGCACCAGTAACTGAACTAGCTAAGATACGTAACAGTGTGGTACCATATCTTCAGGTGGCAAGTTAAACATTCTACTTCAAGCCGTTACTAGTAAAGTTATAGGACAACGTACATCTTGGATCATGCTGAAGACGTCCTTTATTGCCAAAGGTATAATTCCAGGAGCACTTTGATCTCCCTGCACAGACCAACGCAAGGGAAAGCCATCACCAATAAAATAAAACTCAACCTTGCACAGGGTTCACCTAGTCTGAAGCAAAATTTGCACCAAATCACGTCCGACTAAAGACCAGATACTGGCTATGCCACTCAATGCAAGCAATCTATATGTAACTCTTTAGCTGCACTATAACCTGAATCATCGCCGTTATTCTCCACGGTTCGTTCGGTTTCCATTGAGAAATTATCAAAACAACTCGAAGAACCGGAAGTAGAAACTTACATGCATAGTGAAAGTCTTCCCACTACTTGTAACACCATAGGCAAAGACGGTTCCTGGAAAACATTGGAAACGATGGAGAGTCAAAAACACTCACTGCCCGCAGAACTCAACTGAACTATTTTGACCTAATTGCCACTACACCAACTTCATATATGAACTACCTACCGTTGATTCCTTCCATTGCATTCTTGACCACTGGTTTTGCAGCTATATCATACACGTCCTGAGTAATTGTATGCGGTCCAAATACTTTATCTGCTCGATTGAAAACTCACATTAGCATCTCCAATCTACTCCGTTCTATCAATTACTGAGAATCACCGCAAACCAAACAACGAAAAGGAATTCGTAGTACCGAATGCGTAAGCGGAAGCTGGATTATACTCATTCCTAACCATCTTATCTCCGTCGGCGTACCAAGCAATTTCATCGCCTCTTTGAAACTCCCTCTCGCTGTAACCAAAAATGGAAGGGGAGAGAGAGGGAGAAAAAATCTCAATCAGTCACATTAACTGCAAACTAATCTGAAATGGCAAAGTAGATCGATCCGATCCAATTCACACCACTCCACTCAGATCTACCATTTTTTTTTTACCTCAACGGCCTGAACCGAATCGTCACCGATATACTCTCGCCGCTCCTCGGAGCCTCAAGCGACTCGGCAGCCAAGAGCTCTTCGGAGCCGTAACCAACCGGAACCGGGGTACGACTTCCACCATAACCGCCGCGGGAGCTACTACCTAAGTACATTGAATCCGACTGCGACCGGCTGGGAGTCATGGATCGGGCGCCGCTGTAACCACCACTTCCGCCGCCGCCGCCGCCAATGGAGTTGTAGTAAGAAGAAGCAGAGGACGAGCAGGAGCGGGGCATAAGCCGGTTGCTGCTGCTCATGTACGACGAGGCCGAGGAAGTGGAAGAGTACGGACTGGGAGCAGGCTTGCGGTGTGAGAATGGAGAGCTGCTCCTTGTTCGGGAGGACGATGCCATACGCAGCTCCGAAATCCCTACGCTCGCCTCCCCTCTCTCTCTCTTTCTATCGCACTCACAACCAACTCGCTGAGTCGAATGAGGACCCGAGGAGGTTGAGGAAGGAAACGTAAAGAGGGATTGCAATGGCGGAAAAAGAATTTGTCAGTGAAGTCACATGGCGCTGTAGTGGAAAGCGAAATACATTGTCGCAGGAAAATTTTCAATTAATTTGTTTCAATTAAGCAACCTGAGAAGAAATGGGAGGCGGAGCAGTGGAAGAGGAATGGAGAGGAGGGAGAAAGAGAGAGAATCTTCCTTCTTCTTTAAGACAGAGGAGTTGCAGAGAGAAATGGAGAGACAGAAAGGGGGGTTGAGAAAGAAGGGATTTTGAGTTTTTTTTTTTTTGGGATTTATTAGTTTCAAAAGTTTGATTGGTCCTTCGAGTTTTGCCCAGCTAAAGATCTGATGCCGGTAGTTTTCGGACCGTACAAATCCATCCTTGCGTGGCTAGAAATAATTTATGCAAATAACCACTAAAATTTGGAAAATACAAAAGAGGACATCCTAAGCAAGGTTGTTAAACCCCTATCGAACCCCCCGGTTGGACCCGGTTCGACCCGAGTCGGGCTTCAAAACGGCCTCCAGAAAACCCCCCGGTCTGACCCCTAAACAGGGAGAAGAAGAGAGGCGGGAGAGAGGAAAAGGAACGAAGGAAGGGAAATGGTAGGTGGATCATGGAGGTTAGGTAGATTTATTTTGTTGAAAATAAGTTTTTAATAGATATATGTAAGATAAATTTTATTTCACTCATTAAATTTTTAATTACTACTTTATTTTTATATATATTTAGAAAACGCCTAAAACGGCTCAAACCGGCCGGATCTTGATCAGACCATTAAACCTCAAACCCCTTGCTTGACCGGCTCAATGACTTAAACCGGTTTGACAACCTTGATCCTAAGTCAACATGAGCAGCTCAAATAGAAAAAACCAATGTCAATATAAGAAACCATCAATGTGTCGGCTCATTTGCTAAATTAGTTATTTTCAAACTCTTGAAAATGACTATCGAACTGATTTATAAATTTGGTTAGATGTGTGTGATTAATGACTCAAATTTTATGTTTTTAATTATTCAATAAAATAAAATGAATATATAATGTGGACAACATGATTGAATGTTTCACATCAATATTTATTTTTCTCTGGCCCTCAAACAACGCCTTTTATTTTGCAATTTTTTGAGTTATTGGATTTCACCTGAAAATTAAGTAAGATCGTACAGCTCCTAACAAGTAAATGTGTTAAGCTCTCTTGCTCTATATACCAAAGTTCAAATCCTGCTTGGGTAGAAAAAACAAGCTTAATTATGAATTATAGGTTAACTTATATCTATTTGATTATTTCTCTCCATTTCGACAACGAGAAAGCTTATACGACGGTGAAATTACATAAAGAAATAGGGATTCAATCATTCTTTTAGCTTTTCAATTACCTATAAAATGTGTCATTATAATATACGATTGTTGGGAGACAAACTAGATAGTAAGTTCGTTGAACAAGTGAGATGTGACAAGTGAAGAAGAACTTTGCAAAGGGTTGGAATAGAAACTGGACTGGATCTGGAGGCATCAAACTGTAAGGAATGACTGATCGGAACACACTGATTAATAAATGTATATTGTGAGTAATCACCTTTTTCACCCTTTAATCAGGAAGATTTGGGAATCGGTTACTGTGCAGGAGGTTGGCGTGGGGTGGTGAGAGGTGGATGGAGGAGTTTAAAAAAAAAAAAAATCAAAACCAAGGAGGGTAGGGGCCCGCGAGGAGGATGGTTTTGAAATTACGAGATTAAAAAAATGAGCGGGAATAACTCCCCAACTAACTTCAGATAGGAAAACATTAGTTTATTACTGTTCTGATTTGCCAAGTTACTAATTTGCCCTCGCGGTAGGCCGACCGAGCGGGGACGTCGTGTGGGGTCGGAACCGGTGGCGCGGGTGCTGGCCGTTGGGGATAAATAATAGATGCACTGGTGCAGTGGTGACACGTGTGCAGAATATTCCATCATTTTTATTGATACCAATTCAAATGACAAATTACTCAAGAGGTCATCCAATTTGTCTAATGTTTGTGTTCCATTACCTTTTTATCAAATTCATTAGTTTTGTATGAGATACCGGTCAATTACGAATTTACGATATTTGACAATCAAGTGATTGACCGAGTAATATGACACTGAAAGAAATTCAACAATGTCAATTGATTAAAGGAATATTATTTAGACTTGAAGGAGTAGTAAAATCTTTATTTGATGGAACATTATTTGTGATGGTGCGAATGGTTGTTAGGACTTGAAAGGAGAACACACCCAATTCGACCACTTTAAAGCTAGTTGAACTCGATTTTTACAAATTTCGGGTCGACAACGAGTTTTACACTCTTATTAGCTCTTTAATTTTATTAACTCTTTAATCAAATGATTGTTAGGACTTGAAAGGAAAACGCATCCTTGCATTTTTGGGGGTAGTGGACACCATAGTAAACTAAGCTAGACACCATTTTAAGGGTAAACAATTTTGCATTGGATATGCTTTCAAAATTCAAAGAATCAACCCATTCAATCATTTAGCAGTCAAAATCCCAATTGTAAATATGCCATTTCTCTAATCTTATTCTCTGTGCCCACTGACGAGAGCCAGGGACAAAAATTATGTTCATCCGGTCGTCCGACAAAAATGGGGAAACTCAACAAGATTCCATTCACTTCTGGAACAAACAGAAATTGATTATGCTATTCAACGGAAAAAAGAAATTAATTATGCCAATTTTTTTCGTTCAAGGTCTAGGAATAAAATACAGGAGCTATTTCCCTGTCCTCTTTCGACGAGTACAAAAAAAACCCCGAACTTTGCTAACTGCCGATGCTATGTCACGACTAATAATTTAACGTTTATTATTACACGGATCCTATGTCAATGTCATGAAAAGATATCGGCGACAAAGGCCGACGGCGGTGAACGGTGGCCGGAGAAAGAAGATACTCCCCCACGTGACGGGAGTTCTCCGGGCTCCCAAGGGTTTTGTTTTATTTTATCACGATCACGCTGCCAACGCAGGTATATTATTTCCATGACTAAACGTGCATCCCACGCAAAGCCCAGCAATCCTGCCGTCTCCGTGTGGGCATTATGGTAAACACGAGCTGTGGCTTCAAAGCTCCGATTGGAACAGGGGGACCGTCGAGGCGTCGATGGCATCGGCTAGGTAGTGGGAGTGATAAACTGCTCTTTATGAAGGCAAAAATATCTGTAACCATGGATATTCGTCCGAATTCGATCTAATGGGTAGAGTAAAACTCGAACTCGAATGACTTTTAGTGAGTACAGGTAAAACCTGAACCTGAATATTACGGGTAATGAATGGGCATGGTTTTCTCACTGTCCAATCCGAACCGTCCGATTATACACATGCATATGTATTTTGTTTAGAAATAATCATTATTTTCTCTAACATATTTTATATTTAGCATATAACTATAATATATTTATGAAATTGTGTTGTTTTAATTAATTTTCTTCATTCTAGTGAATTATTGTCGTACTTTTTTTTGGTAGAAAGATTGACGCTAGTGCGTCTAATTCATTACTGTAATAAAACGGTCCTGGGGAATCCCCATTACATCATGAAAGAGCCAGTGTCTAAGACCGACTTCGTACACATCGAATGAATGTGTACCAAAAGAATAACAGTGACCAACATTTGCAAGATAGTCAGCTGCACTATTCATTTCTCTAAAAACATGGTTAATCTTCACCTCCCACTCGAGGCTCAAAAGTTTGTTGATAGTTGCTGCAAGAAGTCCGTGTCTGTGATCATAATCAACATAATTCTTGATGATTGCAATGGCAGTTTTCGAGTCAAGGTTCAACTCCACCTTCTTATGCCCCTCATCCCACCCAATCTTGAGACCCACTGCAGCAGCTTTCAGTTCAGCGCAAGTAATCGAACATGAGCCCAAGTTGCACACAAATGCTTTACTGCATCTTCCAAGGTGATCACGAAGCAGGCTCCCTGCAGCAGCACTGCCCGTGGACGAGTAGAACAACCCGTCTGTTTGGAGCTGAATCCACCCTTCCCGTGGTGGTTTCCAAGACACATGTTTCTTACAGGTAGAGGGGCTGCCTGCAGTTGAAGTTTTCCTGACCAAAAGCTTGGCCTGATTCACAATATTGAACCATGCCTGGATTCTGCAAGTAAGACTCTGCAGGTTGAAAGCCTTTCCTTCCATAGCATGCTCATTCCGCTGCTTCCAAATATTCCAGCACACAATTCCAAAATCGATCCCACTTTGCTCATCCGAGAGGTTCTTTATCATCCACTCTTTGAAGTCCATACGAGTTCCGTTGACCTTTAGCTTGTCTTTGAACTTTATCCATGTAAGTTTTGCAGATGGACATTGCTGTAGAATATGCTCGATCGACTCCTCCACATCTTTGCATTGGCTGCAGTTTTGGTTGTCTGTGAGTTTTCTCTTCGCTCTCTCCTTGTTAGTCATTAAGCGATCGTGCATCACCAGCCACAAAAAATGCTTTACTCTGTTTGGTCCCTTCCATTTCCATAGTTTAGTCCAGCTTTGATCATCACCAGCCTCATCCAACCCTGCAGCAAGCGCATAAGCCGATTTGAGTCTAAACCTCCCATCACGTTCCATTGCCCATATGGTTTTGTCCTCGCCAAGATGTGCATTCGGAACTTCCATGCCTGCAATCAGATTAAGAATGTCATCAGGGAGGAGTGGTTTGAGTCGGTTCCAGTCCCACTCACCTTCTTCAGTAGCCCATGCTGCCACTGGTGAGTTCCTTTCAGTGGGTGTCAGGTCGCCAAGGAGGAAATCTTCAAGTTTGAGATCACAGTCAATCCATGGATGAGACCAAAAACTTGTAGACTCCCCATTCCTGATGCTCTAGCAACAACCGCTTTTCATCAGAGGCATTGCTTTGACAATCGCCTTCCACAAGTTTAAATCATTACTCTTCTTCATAGAGGTAATGGCACCATCTTTATGCTTAAAATACTTCCCTTGTAGGACTTGCACCCAAAGCTCAGAATCGTTGTTAAGCATCTACCAAGCTAACTTGATCATGTATGCCATGTTCAAGTTTCTGGCAGATCTGAGGCCCAGACCACCTTGGCTCTTAGGCTTACAAATAGTGTTCCAAGAGACCAGGTGGGTCTTTCTTTTACCCTCTTGCCCTCCCCAAACGAACCTCCTAATCTTTTTGTCAATTTCATCACAGACAGAGAGAGGTAGGGGGGAAGTTTGCATAGCAAAGTTAGGAATGGCATTCAGGACAGCCAAGGCTAGTGTAACTCTACCAGCAAGTGATAGCGTTTTGGCT